AATAATTGTCAGATGTCAATGATCTCATAAAAATAAGCCATCCAGGTGAACACGATATACATTTTCTATATACATAATGTATATGATGAGATACACTATTCCTAACCTTAATTAGTAACAAGAATATACACTACCATTTATCCGTACACTTATTGTTGTTACTGAACTAGATAAATAAAATATCCTTCATTCGTTTATTTAATAATAAGGGCGAAAGAGGAGCCAAAAAAATGATAAATGCTTTTAGAGAGCAAACTCAAATTCAATTGCATGCATCACTGCAAAGATATTGCAGAATTTAAAAGCTCCTGGAAATAAATGGTATAAAATACCGACACAATGGAAATATAAACACAAATGCAGTATAATGTGATCCTTTATTGACAACGTTTTACCCACACAGTGGGCTTTTTCAAGTAGATCCGTGTGTGACTTGAAAAAGCCCACTGTGTGGGTGAAACGTTGTCAATAAAGGATCACATTATACTGCATTTGTGTTTATAATTTAAAAGCTCCTGTTGGTTTTTTGTCTGAAATTCGAGCGTTCAAATCTACGTCATGCAGAGTGTGGAATGCACTAACTACAACAGCAAGGCCTTACTACGTCTTCAAACACAGGGGAAAAAATAAAGGTTAATAGGCATAGGTACTTATCTTCCTGGACTCTACCTGGAGTGCATCAATCTTAATTGATTCACACGTGGATAGCAAGGCACTTTAGCAGAGAAAAAGAGTTAAATTTAACGTTACGTCACATTTTGCTCTGTGAAGACCTTTATCATCCGTGTTACTCTCTGTGTAGAGCTGTATCACGCCATGTTTCTGTGTAGAGCTTTATCATGCCGTGTTTCTCTCTGTGTAGAGCTGTATCACGCCATGTTTCTGTGTAGAGCTTTATCATGCCGTGTTTCTGTGTAGAGCTGTATCACGCCATGTTTCTGTGTAGAGCTTTATCATGCCGTGTTTCTCTCTGTGTAGAGCTGTATCACGCCATGCTTCTGTGTAGAGCTTTATCATGCCGTGTTTCTCTCTGTGTAGAGCTGTATCACGTCATGTTTCTGTGTAGAGCTTTATCATGCCGTGTTTCTGTGTAGAGCTTTATCATGCCGTGTTTCTGTGTAGAGCTTTATCATGCCGTGTTCCTGTGTAGAGCTTTATCATGTCATGAGACAGCCCTGCACAGAGTGAAATGTGCCTTTCTCCCATATATACCTACCATACTACAACATTTCAGCGCTTGAAATATTCGCTGGTAAACACCTCACTCTTATTCTCCAGAAGTGCGTGATCATGCGCGTTCAGCAAAGTGTAAACGTTAAGTGTATTACTTTTTTTCCAAGTGTAGAATGCCTTAAAAAATATTTGACCTGGTGTCAGTGTTATATGGGATTTTGACGACCAGGTCTTGTGTGGTCTTAAAAAAATCGCGTCTGTTGTGGTCTTGACGACCAGGTTGGGTTTGGCTATTACTTCTATGAGTGTATTGTACTTTCCTGCGTCACCTACAAAGAGGCAATCAGCTGGAGAAAAGAATCACCTGAGTTAATCGTAAGCAACAACACAGTAATGTATCGTTCATCTATCTGCCTACAAGTAATGGAAAGTTAAGAAAACATTCGTATAGTTGCATATGTAGCTGTACAAGCTGGTTGGCAAGCTATCTAGCTGTATAAAGAATTGAAGTTTCTCGTGTATCTGTCAAGCTAAATAGGAATCCTTAAACGCAGAGGTCATCTCTTGCCTGTCATTGGTTCTTGAGATAATCGCTCCTAAATTTAAAAGGAAATACTGGAAAACTAGGAACACTCTGATGAAGCAAAGGGAAAAGGTAATGAGTTATTGTATACTCAGTATGGGAATTCACCAACATCTCGCACTTAGTAGAGGAACCTTAGACGACGTTTCGGTCTATCCTGAACCACCGTCAAGTCACAACTGGATCCTCTCCTAATTACGGAATAGAACCCCACTGTAATGTGACTTTTTAATCTTTCTGTAAGAAGAAGTTCGTGAGAATGAACTGCCATCTCACAGATTCACGAGACAGGTAAAAAAAAAAAACTGCAAGCCTACCAGATAGCAAAACAATAACAAAGTTCCTTATTTTCCCACTAAAACGAGAAGAGGGACTGTCCCTGCTGGCAAGTTCCTCCCTACCAACTTACTAAGGTCCCAGAACCATGCTAATTATTTAGAACTTTAAAGAGTTTTAGAAGTGAGGAGGGTAAACTGACACACTTTAAGTGTAGTACACGGAGCACTTTACCATGCAGAGAACTAACAAAATAATCTCTCTTCTTACCCTTAACCCAAGTCAGTCGAGCTGTGAACGTATGAAAAAACCCATAATGAAAATTAATACCATTACCACATTCTTTTTTCAAATATATCCAATCAAATTTTTTATATATATGCCAAATACTAATTTTTAAAAGATAACTGCAAAAGTTTTTCCTCATTCAAATTATTTTCGAAACAATTAGGCTTTTTTTTTGACTAATATGAGAAAAATTGCACTTACTACCCAGCTGTGTTTCTTACCATACATTGGTCTGCTTGCTGGTGGCAAAAAAAAATAATCTTTTTAGTCTTTTGTGTTACTCGTTCTCCATACACTTAATATTATTTTTTTTTTATATTGTACGATAACCTAAAAAAAAGGAAAGTCATCAGGTTGCCAATAATTCGGATTAATTTGTCTCAAGCTAAATGTAATCTCTGCAATAAATTTTGAATTGTAGTAGTATATACAAAACTGAGGAAATAATATCATTAAAGCTTCCGCAAATTTCTTTGGGAAAAAACCGTACAACAGGAATTCCAAATAACAGACCACATTTAATAAGATACAAACTGCAGAACAAGCATTAAATGGGGCAACGTTTCGCTCATTGATCTGATGAGGCTCTAACATAGAATAGAATGTTTTTGTATAAAATCCTTCATTAGCATCAATGTTTTTTTTCCCCCCTTCAACACATTTGAATCACAAAATATTTTTTGATTGAGTTCCTAAGCTTTAATTGCTAGCACAAGCAAAACGTAGCATAACTGTAAATACTTATTATTAGCTAAGCAACTGCAAATATAAACAAAACTGCAAATAATTAGCAAACAGTCGCAAAACAAAATAAACTCATTATTTCTCATTCGTATAGCAGCATACGTCATTGTACAAGTTGCCTGGCAAGCTAACTAGCTGTATAAAGAATGATAGCTTCTGTGTATGTCTTCAGGAAATGTCACTGAGGGCTCCTCCCCATTCAGATGTACAGACTGTGTTTAGAATAATAATTTGATCTTTAAGTATATATTCACGGCTGATATTGACGGATTTTTTCGCCTTTGAAGTTCGGCTTGACCACAGTCCAAGACCATAGCCTGGGACCAAACCTGGGACCAGACCTGGGACCAGACCTGGGACCAGACCTGAACATCATGTTGTCTCTCCAGATTAAGAGGTGGTTGTGAAATGTTCCAGCCACGGTATTGTGAACTAGTTGTGAATTGTTCCAGTCACGGTTTTGAGGGTATTGTGACCCCTCATTCTTCAAGGTGGCCGATTTTTCGTCGCCCAAGTCAGTACCAGATCAGCCGAGCTGTGGCTCGTACGTTGGACAACGTGCGGCCAGCAGTAACATCCTCGTTGATCAGGCCTTGATCCGCCGGGAGGCCTGGTCATGGACCGGGCCACGGGGGCGTTGATCCCCGCAAAGCCCTCCAGGTAGGTAGATCATTTCTGCCACAACAATTCACGCAGTCAGCCCAGCCAACAACTTTTTCTCTGTCAACCAACGCCATTCTACTGAATCTATCCCCGGCTCTTTCTCTCAATTTCTCATCGCTTCCTCTCCCTCACTACTCTTTCACTATCCAAATCTTCCTTTTCACCCACATGGGTCTTACCTGGGAGTATCCTGATCCTGATCAAGGTGGCTTACCATTGCGAGTCATAGTACCTAAAGGAAAAGTTTCGCAACCTTCCATATATTATTGCTTTCCTAAGATGCAGTATACGCCGAAGTTGTTTCAGTAATTTTAATGGTATTTGCTGCCTTGGGTTGGTTATTAGGTCAGGCATTGCGAGAGGAGGTCATCTGTCGTACCATTTCCTAAAGCCTCGTAAGCTCTAAGCAATCTGACGAAATTGTGATTTCGAGAAAAAACCATACCACGGGTGGGGTTAGAACCCGCGATCAGAGAGTCATAAAACTCCAGACCGACGCGTTAGCCACTGGGCCAGCTGGCTACAATAACATTCATCCAACTAGGTATAATTCTACACCATAGGAAGGTTAGCATAGGCCACCACTGTGACCACAAATGCAAGTTTTGTTTGCAACCGTATCATTACAATTTCGTGAGTTCGAAAAAACTTAAGTTTGGCCTCACTAGGCGTAGTTTTAATTAAACTTGACGACGCCACATCACTTCTAGCTGATTTATTTAAATACGATTTCGAGAGGCAGGACTGTTTTTAAATCAGTCGAGTAGATGCTAAGGTGAACTAAATTGTCTCAAGCAAATATTACGCTTCTTGAATGGAGAGAAACAACGCAAAGTCGACTAGTGAAAAAAGACAGTAGGAGAAAAACTTTACTGAGACATTTCGCCAGTGGACTGCCTTTTTCAGTCAGCTTTCTTTACTGACTGAAGAAACCTGACCATAATCTAAACCTCTCATTATAATCCCTAACTGCATTTCATTTATTTTTTTACCAAAACTTTTCAAAGCCTTTGACACTACAAACCAAATATTTACACATCACTCCCTTTACCCTTTCAAAAATACAGTATACATCCACTTTACAAACTTGACAACTTACCTATTATACTGACTTTAACAGGTACCGAGGAATTTAGATTAGACATATCGATCGCCACAGCCCAGAAGTTGAATTCCCACACGTTGGAGAAACTGTTGGTGTTGACGGTAATGATCCCAGTTTGGGAGTCGATGGCGAACTGGATGCACAAGATGAATGGGAGATGAGATTGGGAGAAAGAGAATTAAGCCATTAGGATAAATGGTTAGTCAAGTCATCAGGCTTATACACTCACGTCTGTGTAAACTGTGTGATTTACGCTCTCTATCTCTATCTATCTGTCTCTCTACTTACCGTGCCTGGAGGTTGTACGTTCCTAAGTTGGTATCTCTCAAAATTGTTGTCAGCATCCCTTGCCACCACAGTACCCACGTACGACCCTGCCAGTGTACGTAAAGAGAACGTTAGTACGTGGAATAAATGATCCTGTATGTACGACCCTGCCAGTGTAAGTAAGGAGAAAGTACGTGGAACAAATAGCCTTATAAGTACATAGCACGCCACTCTAGGGCGAATTTAGCTACCTACGACCATACAGAAAATAGGAAATAGAAATTATTTGGAAATCGCTGAAGAGCTATTAGACAACTTTAAAAGAAGGATAAATGGGAAAATGAGTGGAAAATGACGACATATGGGATAACACAGACCCAAGATAAGTTGTAACGAACGAATATTAGCGAATAAAGAGAATACTGGCGCTGGATCTGATACAGCCAAGGACTGCGGTTCGAGTCCCCGTTCAGGATTCTGGTTATCCAAAGGATAATGTCCAGGGGCAAGTTTCCTATAAAAAGTTTTGCTGAGATAGATAATGGGTATAATAGGAGTACATTTAAAACACACACACGCACAGCTTTAAGATGAGGTACGATAAATCTCTTGGAGCTGAGAGTGAGTGGATCTAGTAGCGAGGAGGAAGGGTTAGGAGCTGTGAATCGAACCCTGAAAGCACAAATAGGCGAGCACACACACACACACACACACACACACACACACACACACACACACACACACACACACACACCTTCAAGCACAAATAGACAAGTACACACACACACACACACACACACACACACACACACACACACACACACATACACACACACACACACACACACACACACACACACACACACACACACACACACACACACACACACACACACACCTGCAAGCACAAATAGGTGAGTACACAATACCTCTTCCAGAGAACTCGGAGACGGAGAAGAGGTACTGGTCCTTATCGAAGTAGGGAGGTTCGGGTGTGTCCATCACTCTGATGCGTGCAGGTACTACAGCCTGCTTCCTCGATGACTTGGCCATCCCTGCTCAGCAGAAAACACGCAGTGATAATGTAATAACCTAACTTATAACTGCGAAACTGAAAATATAAAGTTGCGTAATGCAGAAGTCATTAACTTAGACAAAGATTTGCTTAGTCTAATGTCAGTTAACCCCATCATGATTCACTTGCCAAGGGTTCAATTCCCACCCGTTCCGTGGTTTACTTAATCCAGTCTATCATTTTTTAATCTAGTCTATGGTAATTCAGTCTACCAACACTTGACTCAGTCTAACACCGCTTAGCCCAGCCTATCATCACTAAACAGTTCATTTTTAGCTTATATATATATATATATATATATATATATATATATATATATATAATATATATATATATATATATATATATATATATATATATATATATATATATATGATAAACAACCACTTGAAAAAATAGAGAAATTCCAAGCGCTTTCGTGACTACTCACATTATCAAGGAACTATAGTTCCTTGATAATGTGAGTAGTCACGAAAGCGCTTGGAATTTCTCTATTTTTTCAGAGTGGTTGTTTTGCATATTCGAAATCACCTGTTACTGTGATCTTATTGCATATATATATTATAATATATATATATATATATATATAATATATATATAATATATATATAACATATATATATATAATAAAGTTATATAAGTATATAATATATAATATGATCTGGATTACTTTCCCATAAAATACAATTGTAGCAGCAGTTTTGATTATAACTGTGATAATTCTCGTATTTTAGCTAAAAAATGAGGAATGTCAGAAATTGCTTGAAACCGCCCAGCCTATCATCACTGCCATTTTGATAGAAAAGCTTCCATCAAAACGGCAGCAAAATCTGTCACCTAGGCCAGTATCGTCACTTCACCTCAGCAGACGGAGGATCGAGCTGCCACTAAATGATCCTCATGTCTATAGCCCTTTGTACAAATATCAATAATGCATAAGGCTATTTTATAACTCTAATATATACAGCGCAATTTTTTTCCCGATTGCAATTGAAAAAGTACACCCAGAATTGAATAATACGTGCCAAGATGTCCTTTTCAAGTGGAATGCAATTTTAGAAGTGCCGTTTTCAATCGCATTTGCAAGAGGCACTAGGCACTAGAAGAGGTTTATAAAAGAACTTACTGCATTCTGTGGCACCCAGCACGCAGCGTGACCTACCCTGATCTTCAGCGTAGATGTAAAGTAGGTATTCTCCCTTCGTGTGCTCGAAGTCCAGAGGTTTGACATTGTACAGGACGCCTCCGTCATCGATCTCAAAGTGCTCGGGATCGCTGACACTGTACTTGATGAGTCCGTGCTCGTCCATATCGTTGTCCGTGGCATGGACCTGGGAAGAAGGGAAGAGAGGAGGAACAGGGGTGTGAGAGAGGAGGAGAAGAGGTGGCGTGGGCGAGGATGTAAAGAGAAGGAGGAGGAAGATGGGGGTGTGAGAGAGGAAAGAGAAGAGAGGAGAGGTTTAGAGAGAGGGAGAAAGATGTGAGGGAAGGAAGATGACATGGTAAATGTTATTTAATAATGTAGAGGGGCTCAGAAGTGAGAGATGGAACATTAGGGGAGGGGGGAATGAAAAGGGAGATAAGGGGAAACGGGGAATTGCAAGGAAAGGAATATACAAGGGAGAGGCAGGCACACACACACACACACACACACACACACACACACACACACACACACACACACACACACACACACACACACACACACACACAAAACAATGCATACAAACAATGTGCCCAGAAGGGCCATACATCCACGGAAAATGTCACAGCCACATCTTGTGAAACTTCTGCTGCTGGCCACGATGACATCTCTGCTGCTGCTACAGTCGCTCTGAATGACATTTATTTAGAGATCACTGCTATTCGCTGACTCTCTTATTGTTACTGTAGCTACTGATTCGTAGACATGTCTTGATATACACTACAAGGGAGAAATCAATGAAGAAATCTATTTTGCAGGTAGGCGAGTGGAATTAAGCAACCAAAAGCCTACGGATTTTACTGACAATAACAACAGCACAACACAAACAAAAGTGTGTTTGTGGGTTTTAGTGCAGTCGGATTGGCGCCATCCTGTGTGTGTGTGTGTATTTATCGATTTTGCTGATGATAACCTATTAACCCAGGACCAAAGGTAATGATCATGACGTGAGTCAGAGGGAGGAGAGGATTTTCCCTCCTTTCTCCATCTCACCTTTCTTTCCTTCCTCCTTTCTAACCTTTCTTCCCCTTCCTTCTCCCCACGTCATCATTTCTCCGTAATCCTGAGAGATGGTAATCCCCAAGTAACAGTAACTGCAGCTCTGCTGGAATGAAGCCTTTCATACTGCCGTAGCTACTGAAGCCTTAATGGAACACCTGACGATTCCTTCATCGCCTTTCTGAAGTTTCCTGATTTACGATGATACAGTCTGATACCTCATGTGATGGAGTATGATAGGGAAACATGGCTAGCTTTTGTTTCCACAATGTAAATATCAAATAGAATAGTCTAACTACACAATGCGAATGTTCCCACCAAGGCTGTGTTCCCATAATTTAACTCATACAGAGCAAGGTAGCAACCTAGCGCAAGATGTTCCCACAATATAACTGTCCTGTAGAGTAGGATAGCAACACAATACTTACATACATGACTCACGAAATCGTAATGACACGATTGCGAACAAACCATACCACGGGTGGGGTTTGAACCTGCGGTCAGAGAGTCTCAAAACTCCAGACCGCTAACGCGACGGTCTGGAGCTTTGAGCCTCTCTGATCGCGGGTTCAAGCCCCATCCGTGATATGGTTTATACTTACATACCAAATGTTTCTGACATTTTTTTCTATCCCATTCGATGCCTTCAAGACTTACCTGCAGTAGAGAGGTATGAATGGGCAGGTTCTCCCTCACTGTCTGCTGGTACTCAGTGTGGGCGAACTTGGGTTGGTACCTATTGTCCAGGTTACGTCTCCGGCGCAGATCGTGGTGGTGACGCACTTTGTGATTGTTGTGATCGTAGTGGTGGTGATGCTGGTGACCCTCTTCCTCCGAGATGGGGAGCCAAAACTCGGCTCGTGAAGATGAGGATGAAGATGCTTCTGCCGAGCTCCTCCATGATGATGAAGATGATGATAATGATGATGATAATGATAATGATGGTGATGCTGGAAAGAAAGAGAGAGAATGATGTTAGAGAGGACAACGTGGTAGAGTTTTTTTTGACAAGTACAAATTTTTACCGTGTCAATACGGTAATTTGCATTACACACACACACACACACACACACACACACACACACACACACACACACACACACACACACACACGTGGTACACATGTTTGGCAGGTTCCACCAACCAGACCTGATTACTGAGTGAATTTTCGAATATCTAATCCTGGAATCATTTGCATACGAAAACTGATTATAGTCTCAGCAAGAAAAACACCCGCACTTTTCAATGTGTGTGTGTGTGTGTGTGTGTGTGTGTGTGTGTGTGTGTGTGTGTGTATGTGTGTGTGTGGTGGTGTGTGTGTGTGTGTGTGTGTTGTGTGTGTGTATGTGTGTGTGTGTGTGTGTGTGTGTGTGTGGTGTGTGTGTGTGTGGATAAAGAGAGAGAGAGAGAGAGAGAGAGAGAGAGAGAGAGAGAGAGAGAGAGAGAGAGAGAGAGAGAGAGAGAGAGAGAGAGAGAGAGAGAGAGAGAGAGAGAGAGAAACAGAGACAAAGAGAAACAGACAGAAAGAGAAACAGAGACAGAGAGACAGATAGAGAAAGAGACATATAGATAAAGAGAGACAGAGACATATAGATAAAGAGAGACAAAGACAAATAGAGAGAGAGAGAGAGAGAGAGAGAGAGAGAGAGAGAGAGAGAGAGAGAGAAATAAAGATAGTTTTTACACTCTCCTGGTGTCAGGTTACACGCTGCTATATCCATCACAACTCAACATATTAAAAACATACGCACCAAATTATGGTGTTATATTTCACAAATATACGCATCATTATTTTAATTATCAGCCTTAATGGCTCGCTACGGTGTTGTTTGCGCCAAAGACATGTGCGCATGTATTTGTTTTAAAACATGTGCGCATATATTTGTTTAAAAATACACGAGAACATATATTAGTTAAAAAGCAAATTTACTCCCTAATAACCAGTTCTGAAAAAACTTAAGAATTATGTCTATAATTTGTAGACAATCTCAAATCTGTTTACGGTATGTAGACATAATCTCAAATCTGTTTACGGTATGTAGACATAATCTCAAATCTGTTTACGGTATGTAGACATAATCTCAAAGCTGTTTACAGTATGTAGACATAATCTCAAAGCTGTTTACGGTATGTAGACATAATCTCAAATCTGTTTACAGTATGTAGACATAATCTCAAAGCTGTTTACAGTATGTAGACATAATCTCAAAGCTGTTTACAGTATGTAGACATAATCTCAAAGTTGTTTACGGTATGTAGACATAATCTCAAATCTGTTTACGGTATGTAGACATAATCTCAAATCTGTTTACGGTATGTAGACATAATCTCAAATCTGTTTACGGTATGTAGACATAATCTCAAATCTGTTTACAGTATGTAGACATAATCTCAAAGCTGTTTACAGTATGTAGACATAATCTCAAAGCTGTTTACAGTATGTAGACATAATCTCAAAGCTGTTTACAGTATGTAGACATAATCTCAAATCTGTTTACGGTATGTAGACATAATCTCAAATCTGTTTACGGTATGTAGACATAATCTCAAATCTGTTTACGGTATGTAGACATAATCTCAAATCTGTTTACGGTATGTAGACATAATCTCAAATCTGTTTACAGTATGTAGACAATCTCAAACCCGTTTACGATATGTAGACATAATCTCAAACCTGTTTACAGTATGTAGACATAATCTCAAATCTGTTTACAGTATGTAGACATAATCTCAAACCTGTTTACAGTATGTAGACATAATCTCAAATCTGTTTACAGTATGTAGACATAATCTCAAACCTGTTTACAGTATGTAGACATAATCTCAAAGCTGTTTACAGTATGTAGACATAATCTCAAAGCTGTTTACAGTATGTAGACATAATCTCAAAGCTGTTTGCAGTATGTACACATAATCTCAAAGCTGTTTACAGCATGTAGACATAATCTCAAAGCTGTTTACAGCATGTAGACATAATCTCAAACCTGTTTACAGCATGTAGACATAATCTCAAAGCTGTTTACAGCATGTAGACATAATCTCAAAGCTGTTTACAGTATGTAGCCATAATCTCAAAGCTGTTTACAGTATGTAGACATAATCTCAAAGCTGTTTACAGTATGTAGACATAATCTCTAAGCTGTTTACAGTATGTAGACATAATCTCAAAGCTGTTTACAGTATGTAGACATAATCTCAAAGCTGTTTACAGCATGTAGACATAATCTCAAAGCTGTTTACAGCATGTAGACATAATCTCAAAGCTGTTTACAGCATGTAGACATAATCTCAAAGCTGTTTACAGCATGTAGACATAATCTCAAACCTGTTTACAGCATGTAGACATAATCTCAAACCCGTTTACGGTATGTAGACATAATCTCAAACCTGTTTACAGCATGTAGACATAATCTCAAAGCTGTTTACAGTATGTAGCCATAATCTCAAAGCTGTTTACAGTATGTAGACATAATCTCAAAGCTGTTTACAGTATGTAGACATAATCTCAAACCTGTTTACGGTATGTAGACATAATCTCAAAGCTGTTTGCAGCATGTAGACATAATCTCAACCCTGTTTACAGCATGTAGACGCATCTTAAGCATGTTTACATTATGAGGTAATTTACATGTCTATGGCTTCCCTGTAGACACCTGGGATACCTTTGATACACCTTTGACGAGTTTCGAGAGTCTTATTACTCTCGCAGCCCGACTATAAGCCAGGCTTGTCTGGTTCTTGCCTGGTCAACCAGGTTGTGGCTGCTGGAGACCCGCTGCCCCACATATCCATCACAGCCTGGTTGATCTGGTACCTGGTGAAGATACTTGTCCCGTTTTCTCTTGAAGACTTCTACACTTGTTCCAGCAGTGCTTCTGATATCTTCTGGTAAGATATTGAATAGTCCGCGATCTCGAATGTTGATACAGTGTTCACTTATTGTGCCAACCGCACCCCTATTCTTCATTGGGTTTATTTTGCACTTCCTTCCATATCTCTCATTCCAATATGTTATGGCAGTGTGAAGATTTGGGACCAGGCCCTCTAGTCTACTCTCCAGGTATATATTATCATGTATCTTTCTCTCCACCGCTCCAGAGAGTACATGTTCAAGACTTTAAACGATCTCTGTATTTGTTCAAGCTCTGATATTTCTCATGTCTTGAACAGGTCCGACAACAGTGAGCAGTTGCAACACAGTGTCCTCCGGCAACACAATACTACCTCATAAAAGAACTGTAACATAACTTGCAACACTCAGAGGTCATACAAAAATTCCTAAGATTTTCAGAGTCCATATAATACAACCTACAGTTCATACAGGATATACAAGCCAACCTACAACAACAACACAGGACATGCAATATCTCCTGCAATACGCAACACACACCAAAAAAGAAAATCTACCTACAATCCACAATACAAAACTATCAACAACACTGACCATACATTACCGTCTATAATACTCAACACCCACAAAAACAATACTACTTACACTACACAATACACACATACAACACACATGTGTCATACACTACTACCTACAATATGCAACATACATATATACAAAACTGCCAATAACAACCACCAATAATATTGTGTGTTTTCCGTGATAAAGTTTCCCCTTAATCCCATTAATCTTTATCGTATCAATAGATTTGCACCCATCAAGGCAACGGCTACAGCTTTATAAAGCTTGAATATTCACCGAATTAACACTTCACAAAGGATCATTACGAAACCGAGAGAAGTGAAAACGTTCAGAAAACTGAACCCTCCGATTTTGAACCCTGAAATGCTGAAGTGTTTGTTTACTGGGAAGTGTGTATATCTCAGTGTATATACACAGGTGTGTTCATCTTAGTATATACACATTATTATTATAAACATGGGGAGCGCTAAACCCAGAGGATTATAGAGTGCATGGGGGGGGAGGGTTGGAAGGCATTCAGGCTCAGTTCAGGGAACTGGAACAGATCCAATTCCCTAGATCAAGAGCCCCTCACCAACATCAAGGAACCTCCCTTGAGGGGTCAGTATATATATATCAAGAAGTGTATATTTGTCAGTGTGTATACACCGATAGTTTACTTTAATCACTATTTTAGGGATTAAAGTAACAGGTGACATGCAGCCTTAATGACCCTCGTGTAGTCGACCGACTTCAAACCTAAAGAACCAAACAGATGACAACGGCACATGATAAAAAAGTGTAGCCAAGGATCCCAGCAGCAGCAGTGTCGCCAGAGGCTTCCCGAAAGCAGTGGTAGTGAGTGCAGTGAAGCAACTAGCACTGCACCCGGTGAAGGTTCAGTAACTGCTTATTAACACATGGTAACAACGCCACTAAGACAACATAATGGTGCCGAGGATCAAGCTCCATCACTTCTGCCCAGCCTGACTTATTTACACTTGTGTTAAACACCAACATAACGGGAAGTGTTAGAATTCGCTTCACATACACACAGGATCCATTATATAGTTTTAAGAAGAGGCAGGTTAAGGCTCTATGAAGCCAGGAGAGAGTGTACAGAGTAGCGGCTAGCGAAGAGGCGGGGCCAGGAGCAGTGAATCGACCTTTGCAACCCAAAACAGGTTAATACACACACACACACACACACACACACACACACACAGACACACACACACACACACACACACAACACCACACACACACCACACACACACACTACACACACACACACAAGTGAAGTAGTGGAGGCAGGAACCATACATAGTTTTAAGAAGAGGTATGACAAAGCTCAGGAAGCAGAGAGAGAGAGGATCCAGTAGCGATCAGTGAAGAGGCGGGGCCAGGAGCTGAGTCTCGACCCCTGCAACCACAATTAGGTGAGTACAATTAGGTGAGTACACACACACACTATTATGACCCAGGTAAGCACGGCCTATTATCCTGGTTGTAAAAGTATGTACACTACACTATGTACAG